TGAGCCAGTAACCCTTTCCTTCCTATGTTTATTTCAGCCACCATTTTATCTGAGCAACAGAAAAGCAAACAAGGAAAGAGACATTTCAAATATGAAAGATGAATCTGCTACGATGGTGTAACGTTTGTTAATAGAAACAATTAGCAACAGATTTCAAAACACAAAAAAAGCTGAGGGAACTAGACATATGGTATATGTTGAAGACCTCCCAAACCCTTTCAGTAGATAGACACAGTTAAGTATAACTAATAAAGAATACTAAGAAATAAATTACATAGACCAAAGAACTGATATGTATAAAACACCAGCCAACAGTAAAGGAGACACAGTTTTTCAAAATACACTCATGGAACATTCATAACTGATCTTTTCAAAGAAACACTTCAATTTCATTGTGCCCCCCTCTTTTTTTTTTTCAATTTTATCAACTTCTGCTTACTTCTTCTTCAAACTTGACACTGGGGGAGGGGGGGTTAATTAAAAAAATGTAACAAATTTAAGAAGTCTGAAATCATATAATTAATTTCTCCTTCACAGTAGAATTAAACTAGAAGTCATTATCGGAAAAAATATCTGGAAAATACTTAAGTGCTTGGAAAAACAATAAGCTTATTCATTATCCATCATTTGAAGAGAAACTCTCTAGGGAAATTTAAAAATGTTTTAAACTAAATAAAAATGAAAACACATTTCAAACTCTGTAGGGTATAGGTGAGTAATTTTTAGGAGGCAATATGAACTTTAAAAACTTTATGCTAAAAAAAAAAAACTTTATGCTAGAGATGGAGGCAGTTCTCAATGAAGAGCAAGCATGAAAGTTAAAAACGGTGAACAGAAAGCAAGCAGAACCTAATAAAACTGGAAAAAAATCAACTACAAACTTTTTCCTGAAAAGATAAATAAAATGTATAAACTTTTTGCAATATTAATGGAATGTGTACAAATTATTAACATTAAGAATGAAAGAAGAAAACACTCTACCCACTCAGACAAGACAGAACATACACACACACACACACACACATATGTATGTGTATATTTGAAAGGGATCAATTCAATGAAAGCCATAGCTACCAAACTTCACCTAAGAAATTATCAAAAGAAATGACTATGTAGTAAAATAAGAAAAAAAATTCTTACTGAATTCAACCCTAGATACCACACAAGCCACTAGATAAAAATAACAAGTTTGATAAACCCTTCCCCAACAAAAGTTAAGAACACTTTCTCACTTCAATCTTTGAAATCAGATTAGTAACTAAGACAAAAGGCAGTAAAAGAGGAAAAGGAGAGAGGGAAATGAGGGAGGATAGGGAGAAGAGAGCAAGGAAAAGAAATTAGAAGATAAACTTCATGATCATATAGAATAATATAGACAAATCTCCCAGCAAACACACACAAAAAAGAAATGTCTAATGTCTACCTATGTATGGGGCATCTTCAAAGAATCTGTAGCTGCCATCATATTTAAGTAGTAAAAGATTAAATGCTTTTCCTCTAAGACAGAGACTAAGACAAGGAAATTTTCTTTCACCACTTCTATTTAACTGACAGCCCTGTACAAAAATTAAAAGATGCAATAAAAAATAAGTAAAAGGACTATAGAGGAGAAAGACATAAAACTGCCGTTATTACAAACAGCTTTATTTCCTACAATGAAAACCCTGAAAAATCTACAAAAGTCCCTAATATAAAAGCGTTTACCAAGGCTACAAAATAAAAGGTCATCCAAGAATTAACTATGATTCTAAATATTATGAAACAATTGGAATTGGAAATTAAATGGAATGATAAATAAATTGTGTATGTATACAGATTACTTACAGCAACTCCAAATAAACATATAGATATAAATAAAACCTGTCAAAGATTCTTACATTGAAAACAAAATTCTGGTTTTAAAAATCAAAGACTTGGGCTGAAGAGATGGCTCAGCCATTAAAGGCTAGGCTCACAACCAAAAATATAAAAATCAAAGACAAGTAAAATGAAAAGATGTACAGACATGTAGTTAATTCTTCACAATCTGGTCTAAGACTTAATACATCCATTCCACTGAAAATGCTTACAAAATTCTTTTTACACAGATGGGCTAGGTCTAGTAATTTTATGAACATTAAAGAACTTCAAGTGTAATTACTTTAAAACCATTTAAAAGTTATGTTTTATTTATATGTATGAGTGTTTTGTCGGCATGTGTGTCTGTGCGCCACACATACGCCTGGCGCCTACAGAGGCCAGAAGAGGCAATGCTTCCTTGCCTGAAGCTGTAGACTGGAGCTGGGAGCTGCCATGGGGGTGCTTGGAACTGAACCCAGGTCCTCTGGAAGAGCAGCCAGCACTCTCAACCACTGGGCCATATCTCCAGCCTCTCAAATATAATTCTTCAAAAGAATAAAATTGTGCTCACATCTAATTTTCAGTATAAAGCAACAGAATCAAGAGAGAGAATTAAGAAGTAGGTATGTACAAATATGGTCAACTGGTTTGAAAAAGATGCAAAGGTACTTTAATGGAAATAGCACAGTGTGTCAATCCGCTGCGTTGGACGGGTGGACATCTGTATTGACCTATGTTTCTTCCTTTCCTCTTCTAATGGTAGTTTTAAAAAGCCAGTCAGGGAGAAATTGCACTTGATAAGAGTGTGGAGAGCATCACATCTTTGTACACACAGCTAGTAAGTCCCAAATTTACAGCCGTGACCAATGCATTTCCTACACCAAGCCAATTTCCTCTGCCCTAAGTGAACAAAGAATAAGGCTGAAAGACATCTTCTCATTCCCAAAGCTTACCGAACTGTGCAAAGAAGCCAATCCTGCTTGTAGACTTGATCACTTTGGCTTTTTCTTGAGGAGGCCCCAACTAAAATTCTTTTTTGTTGTTGTTGCTACATTTTGTTTGAGACAGAGTCACAAGTAGCCCAGGCCTGGCCTCAAACTTGCCATATTGCCAAGGATGACCTTGAATTTTGATCCTCCTGCCAAAGCCTGCTAGGATTACAGGTGTGCACTGCTACACCTAATTTCCAAAAAATGTTCTTAAACTTAGTTAATCCAATCACTTCTGCTTTCTTCCTGACAAAGCTATCATTTCCTTTATGTTTCCTCTTCTATTGGGAAACACAAGTAATAAATTCTCTGGCACTGCCTTTTTTGTGATGGTACTTATTAAAATCCTTGTGGCATGATTTTAGTATGGCATCTATATGCAAAAAACACTCCAGCTTTAGTTCATACCTTCCACCAAAATGAACTCAACAGGAACTATATAAATAAGTGTAGAACTATACAATTTTTAGTACAAAACAAAGGGAGAAACTATGACCTTGGGTTAAGTGAAGCACTCTTAGACATAACATCAAAAGTATGACCCAAACAAGAATAAGATAGACTTAACGAAAATAAAAAAAAAAACTTTCCCTTACAAGATATTGCTAAAAGTATAGGAGAAAAGCTTTGAAATGAGAGAAATACAAGCAAACTCAATCATAAGAAAACAAAACAAAAAAATCATAATGAAAAATTTAAAATAGCCAAATTGTAAATAAGCTCTTGAAACTATTTTTAACGTTATTTTAAAATTTCCAAAATGTAATTATATCACCCCCCACCTTCTCTTCTGGAAACACAAATAAAAACCACATGTAGACCTTGATCACACACATACGAGAAGCTAAACATGCCACAGGGTCAAGGACACAGATTTAGAACTCTCACACTGATCAGAGCAACTGCGGAGAAACGTGTTGTCGTTTCCTGTGGAGTTAATGATGCATCTGGCCGTGACATGCACACTCCCATGCATTCCTCTAAAATATGAAATCAATTTTCAATGAAAATCTGTCAACAAATATTCTTGGAGCTTTATTCATGATGACCCCAAACTATAAAAAATACAAATGTCCACCCGGTGAATGGATAAACGAACACAGTGAGCTGACCATTAACAGGGCATGACTGTTACACCAAGGCAGAGAATGGAACTATTGGTACATGCACACACTTATGAATCTCAAAGATTCATGCTGCTGTTAAAAGCAGCCTGTCTCAAAAGGTTATATGCTGTGAGTCATTTATGATATACCCTGGAAAAGCTGGAAAAATTTAGAAACAAAAAGCTTATTTTAATGTTTTTTTTACAGATAGTAAACAAGATGGCGGACACATCGGTATTGGTAGGGATTAGGTATAGCGACTGACAACAGACAAGCAACATTGATGAAATTTTTTTGGTTTGTAATTGTGGTGAAAGTTAACAGGCAAATTATATATATAATATAAATATATACACATATTTAAAATTGTCAACTACATGGCAAAAGGGCTTGTTGAATATAAACTCTATAAAAAACTTTAAAGACATAGGTGAAAATGTGGCACAGGATGCTTTTCTTCTTTTAAATTTTCGGTTCAGTTTTACCATCTTGTTTACTTAAAATCTATAAATTATCTCACAGCAATGACAGATTTTTCAGGATTCAAATCAGTTTTACCCACTAAGGCAAGAAAGGTAGTCGGTTAAAGGCAACTAGAAATGCTCACATTTAAATTTTAGCCAAAAAAATCATCAACTTAGGGGAAACAGTGAAGAGAAAGAGCAAAAGAAGCCAACAAAAACACAGCAAGGCACGGTGGTGCATACATGTAACCCAGCACTCAGGGGCTAAGACAGAAGGCTCACGAGCTGAAAGGCAGCACAGGCTTCACAGCAGATAGAGAGAAAGATGGAGAAAGGGAGAGAGAAGGAGAAAGGAAAAGAGGGCTAGAGGGACACAGGTAGAGAGAAAGAGAGGAAGGAAGGGAAAGCAAAGAAAAATGGGAAGAAGGGAGGGAAGAAAGAAAAAGAGAAAAAAGGTAACAAATTACAGATTACTATTTGAAATTTAGAGCCATATATTCTACAAGTCTCAGAATTTAAAACCCTCAGCAAGATGAGAGCAAAACTCATCATATCCCAAGACTTTTCTCCTTTTGTCTTCAAATGATGAAAAAACAACTTACAGCTTTAAGTGTAAGGTCACACTGGAACACAAGTGCCCGAAGCTGCGTTAACATTTCTCTCTTGGTATTTTCTAGATCATTCCGTCTTTCTTCAACATTTGTTACACAGACTTTATAGTGCTCGTTTGCTTCTTCCACCTTCAGGACCATCACCGAAACAACAGTAATCACTAAATTTATATTTAATTTAACTAAATTTATTTAATTTAACTTACTGCAATTAAAGCTGTATCTTAAAAACTGGAAATTCTTTATGAAAATTCTAAACTTTTTATTTTAAATATAATACCATGAAATACATTTTATTTTATTTTGGTTTTTCAAGACAGGATTTCTCTATGTAGCCTTGGCTGTCATGGACTCACTTTGTAGACCAGGCTGGTCTCAAACTCACAGAGATCCACCTGCCTCTGTCTCCCTGAGTGCTAGGATTACAGGCATGCACCACTAGGCCTGGCATGAAATACATTTTAAATAAAATAATTTAAAGATAAATAGTATTTTGGTTAGCAATTTAAGAATACTTAGTTTTAACTGCTGGGGTGATTTGCAATTACTATATTGTTTGCATACAAAATGGTCTCCGTTTCTATTTAAAATGGCATTTCTATTTATATTTGCCATTTATTTTACAGAATTTGTCAATTATACTTTCACTTCATGACTGACACAAAGCCTCGGCTTATTCTGGTTCAGCAGGTGAGTAACACAGAGACTTGTCTGAAAAGTCAAAAGTAAGAAACTATTAGCCTAAGAGTCTTCTTGCGCAAACTCCTAAGTGTGCCAGCAGAGTAGTTCCCGAATGTGCATTTCTACCCGCAGCATCACGGTCACCTGGGGACTTGTTAGAAGTGACGCTTGCCTGGGTCCCACTCTTGACTAACTCTTGACCAACTCTGTGGGCAAGGCCCAGAAACCTGAATATGTTTTTCTGGTGATCATGACTCCTGGTAAGGTTTAAAAGCCAAATCTTTAGCAGAGTATTACTAATTCAAGTTTTATATAACAAAAATATTACTTTTTGAAGAGCCTCTTCTTCCAGTCTTCGCTTTTTTTCTAGTTGTTTGTTGAGATTTTTTGCTAATCCAACACTTGAACTTAGCTGCTCTTCTTCTGCACGAAACATAGAAGATTTTGCCTTTTCGTATTCGTCTTGTCTTTGTATGCATAACAACTTTGCCTTTTTGAGAGCTGTCTCTGTTTCAAGCTATCCAGAAAAGAGTAGTAAACAGACTATAAGACAACATGTTTTAAGGAATTCAGACTAAGACAGGTGGTTTATATACTGCAGGTGATTTTAGATGTTTACAAATAGGCATGTGAAATTCCAGTACAATACTAACCAATTTATTCTGCTGCTGCTTCCAAAGTTCTTTTATTTCTTTCCTTTGTTTCTCCATTTCATTCTTTCTCCCAAGTAGAGGCTATTAAGAATATTAAAAAGTATAAAAAGTAAGTTGTTTTATAAATGTATATGGTATTTAAAAACAAACAACAAGCATATGCTGTATGCATTAATTTTTACCTGCACAAATTTGTTGGCTTGTAGAGCTGCAATTGTTTGTTGTAAAAGATGGCTGCTGTGTATATCATTAAGAAGAGCATTGGTAAATAGAGACTGCAGTGGCATAAACTCCTAGAATTTAAAGTTGAAAGGTTAAGTTTTATAATAGCACAGTAGCAGAGGCACTTGCCTAGTATGTTGTGGCTTAATCCCTAAAGTTGACATATTAGAAAAAAATGGCGCTAGAGTTCTAGATATATACCTGTTCTTCCAAAAGACAACTAGATTTTTTTCTCTAGTTAAAATGTCTAGTGTCTGTATGAGAAAAAATATTGAAATTCTGAACTAGTTAGCAAAATTAGTATTAATATAGGTATTGTATAAAATTTTAAATGCTTTAGTTTCATTCATAGGGAATTTCTATTTAAATTTACAAGTTTTTTTTTTCATAAAAAGATCAATACTTATGTTCAATTTTTTTTTTCTATGAACTGATTGGGAGTTGAAAGCTGAGCAGTCTTTCGTTTTGAGCCCAAGGGGTTCCCTGAATACTCACTTGTATTCCAATGCTAGATCTAGTTGCCTCTGCCAATTTTACAATATTTCTAGTGGACTCCAATTCTGAAACGGTTAAAAAAGACAAAATTAACATTTTTTTTTCTATTTATACACTCTAAAATTATTTGAGCTTCTTCACCTAAAAAGTGATCATACCTATTGGTATAGATCGTGATATAAGGAAGTAATTCTTTTAACTGCTCATCAGAATCAACTGGGGAACTTTCCAAACACAAATGCATGCCTCTCAGCTGTCAGAATGAGATCTAAGCTAGTGTAGTTTGGGCATTGGCACTGGTGAATCCCACTTCCCTCCAAATGTGCCACATGTTTATAAGCAAATGTGCTGTGTCCCTCAGGAGAATGGGCATAACAATTCTCTCTTCCTTGCTTTCCAAGTATTAGGTGGTTAGGTAAGATAATGGATATGAAGCCACTTATTCGGCTGTAAAACACTGTGGTAACATTAGCTGCTTAGCTGTTTCTGCCATGCTTCTGTCCTTCCTGCTTATGCATCCGCTGCTGCGCTTCTCCCTCTTACCATACTATGTGATTAAACGTTTTCACCCATTATAGTGAGGCATCTTTAAAGGCAGAGACAGTGTTGTTTGTTGTGTGTCCATATCTAGCAGGCTACAAAAATATTTAGTATGTATATCTAGTGTAAAAAAGACTAGCTAAAGAAAAAAAAAACTAATTCTATTTATTAAAATAAAATAACCACTAATTAGAAATCAGAGTACCTATAGTCTGTGGAAAATGAATCACAATTTAGCTCTACTGTGTCAAAATTAAACACATGCTTTAACAGAGAACTCACCCAAGTTGAGCTTTTTTTCAACCCATGACACTATGTTCTTGGTATATTTTGACCATGTTTTAGCATATGACAAGGCCAGCTCTATTGAATCAGTATTCTTTAAAAGCAAGTGGTCTAGTTCCAAAGGGGAAAAATTTCCTGAAAACAAAAACATCAAAATAAGGATATGTTAAGTATGAGCACAAAATAATTCTGAAAAAAGAAGTGCTTGGATCCTTAGGAATTAATTAGCAAAAACTGGTTGAAAATTCAAAAGATAAGTTTTTGAAAGGCCATTGTTTATGCTTCAAATTACATTGGGCATGTATGTTTTGCCTGCTTGTCTGTGTACCATATGCATGTCTGGGCCCCAAAGAACCAGAGGCAAGGGTCAGATGATCCCCTGAAACTAGAGGTACAGATGGTTGTGAAATGGGTGTGTGGGCTGGGAACGTACTCTAGGTCTTCTGCTAGCGAGTGCTCTTAGCCATTGACCCGCTGTAACCCCAGCACCTGCATTTTTATCTTAATACATATTTCTATTGTTTACTGAGCTACAATCTGTATGCAATTATGATCAGTTTATATTATCACATCATCTTACTCAAACAAGTTTTGTTTTAAGTATAAAACTTTCTTTATCATTTTATATTAAAATAAACTTAATAGATTACGACGTACAAAAAGATTAAGTGTATCAAAATACTTAATGAAGAAAATGTAAAATGTTTAATAAAAATTGAATACTACCTTTTTCATTGGGTAAATCCACTGAGTCCACAGAAATGTTCTCAAAAGACTTAACACATGGAAAAAAAACAAATTTAAGATTAGAGTAGAAAACAACAAATCACTGCTTCCAAAATTCTGTTCTTGATTTTATTACTCTGACATAATTTCTGTTCAAGAATTTCAAGTATTTAAAACTCAGAGGCCTAAGAAGTCTGCTTAAATACCATAACACTGCAAGAATTATAGTTCCCAAGATTCAACAGTAAACAAACTCATTTAATATAATTAGTTAAAAAAATCAATGATTCCATATTAAACTTCAAATTCCACAGATCTAAAAAGGTTCAGAAATTGTAAGGTTCAAACTGAAGAGAACACCCAGCCACCCTTTACCATTTAATTACAGCTCTTTTCATGTTTTTTGGACAGTTTAGTACAAAATTTTCTGTGAATAATAGCAATGCCATGCCGTATTATGTTTATATATGCAGCAGATATCAGACACATGTAGCTACTTAAACATTTAGAATATGGTCAATCAACTAGAAAATAAAATTTTAACTTTACTTATCAATTTAAATTTAAAGAACTACGTGTAAGTGATGGCTACACCTTTTTAGACAATGTTTAAAAGTCTCATTGTACTTGCAGGATCTCACTATGTAGCTCTGGTTGGCTTAGAACTCACTATGTAGACCAGGCTGATGTAGAACTCAGAGATCTGCCTGCCACTACTTCTCAAGTGCTGGGACTAAATAAAGACATGTGGCTAAATAAATTCTTAGACAAATATGATCTACACGGCTGGGCCATATAGAGTGTACAGATTCAAGGCAGAAGGGATCAAAGACTCCCGGGGCTAACGTTCAGTCAGGTATATGTCATCAGACTGCATATTTAAGCTTACCCAACCTTAGTTTGCCTGTCTATAAAAAGGGGATAGAACTGTATTTTCTATGTCCGTCTTTGGCCTCCATATGCTCAAACATCGATATGTACCCACACCAATATATCTACTCCCTCCCAAAAAATTCCTCACTAAAATTTTGGACCATATAACATTGATTAATGAATAGTAAGGCTGTTTTCTTATCCCTTAGAAAAGTATAACCAAATTATTGCTCCAAAAACTGACCATTTTATCATATATAAAATTAATAAATTTGCTTTCTTTGTCTTAAAATGATAAGGTAATCTATAAAGTTTAAAACTATCAGAGTACTAGTAAGTTCAATACCAGGAAATAGTTGTTATAGTAAGTTAAAAATATTAGACTTCGCTTTCACAAAAACTGACTTACCTTATTTTCTTGAGAAACAGGCAGTCGTAGTACCAAATCATTGCCTACATCCCCCATGAGGAAGTTTGTGAGGCTATCCAGAAAGGTTAAAAAAAAAAACAACATAGAAATAAAAAGACAGGGTATTACACTTCTCTGTCTCTTACCATCAATCTATCATCTAAAATAAACTGTTTTAAGAAACACCTAGGAATCTCATCCACACAAACCACAGGCACAGATTCAAAGAGCTCTACAGATACTTGCAAATACAGTCATTAAAGCAAGACAGAAGGTAGGTCTTGCCAAGCATGATGGTATGTGATACTACCTAATACTTTATTTTCCATCTGTCCTAGAGTTATACTATACATTCTCACTACGACATTCAGGTGCACTAACTTCAATGATTGTCTTTACTTACATATTTCCAAAGGTAAAAGCTAAAGTTTCAATGGAGGAAAATACTTCTCGAAATAGATCATTTTTGTTTTCTTCATTAACTTCTGTAAAGTTCACAGCTGTAAACAAAGAAAAGTTGCATTAAGTGGAGGAAAACATATATAACATTAGAGTTACAAAAAAATCATTTACTCCTTTAATCACTGTCTCTTCAAAAGGCATTAAAAGGTTCAGAAATAGAACATTTAAGATCTTTATTAAGGAAATCATGCAAAAGTATCAGTTTGCATTGAAGTAGCCGGTACTGCAAATTGATTACTATGCACATTACATAATCCAACACATCTAGAAGCGACTCAATGTGAAATCAATCAGTCTTAGAGTCACAAAACCATCCTGTACTTGACCTCTTTATGTAATGTTCCATGTTATTTTTTTCTCACAGCTTTCTGGCATTTCAAAAAACAAAAACAAAAACTAAAGATGCTGGCCCATTCAAGTCACTATCGTATACAAACTCAATAAACTATCAACAGCTGGAGGCACAGACAGATTTTGCACATCGTAAAATGCACAATATAGCTCCATTACCAAAAATTAAGTTTTATAGGTCTCTATTTTTTCAAAAGTTGATGCAAATATGGCTAGGAAGCAAGAACTCCTGAGATTACAACCAGACTGTATCTGAATACGCCTCTGTAGACTATGGGGTGAGGACACTTAAGTCCCTACCTTACTCAATTTTTTCTAAAAGTCTCTTGTAACAAAATAAAAAACTTAAGAACCAGCCAGTGCAAATAATTTTAAGAATATCTCTAGACTTTTGCCCTGGTCAAGTTGGAGAAACAGATTCTACTTCTGCCTGAAACAACCAAAGGCAAACAGACAGAAACCTGTACAAAACTGAAGAAGACACAATTTTTAAGACAGATTATTAGGCAGTAATCTTTTTTTGTTGTTCTTTTTTTTTCCAGACATTTTACAATTTTATTGAAACATATTTCTTTAACCATTTGAGTTTTAAAACAGCATCTGATAATAATTTCATACTGAAGTTTATAAACAGCATACCATGTTTCACTATGGGTTACCTTAGATACTTAATTTTTTAACATTTCCTTTAATTTTTTTTTTGTCTTTTTTTTCCTCCCCCATAAGTCCCTCCCTCCTCCCCTTCCAATCCCACCCTCCCACCCCTTTTTGAGACAGGGTTTCTCTTTGTAGTTGTGGCTGTCCTGGCACTTGCTCTGAAGACCAGCCTGGTCTTGAACTCGCAGGCCTGCCTCTGCCTCCCGAGTGCTGGGATTAAAGGTATGTGCTACTATGCCTACCTAAAAGGCAGTAATTTTTCACAAACAAGAAACTAATCACGATAAGCTTACAATTGCCCCAGTTTACTGTGTAATATTACACAAAGTAGATTCCCAAACAAAGGACATATCCAGAGGGATTTTAAAAGTGTCATAATACTGAGGGATCAGTTAAGCAGGAGGACTTAACAATTTTATATCTGTATACATACATTTATAAATGCATAGAACTACAAAATTCACAAAGCAAAAACATAACCACAATGAGAAATGGATACATTCTCAGTGACAGACATAAATACTCTCAATAGGTAACAGAAAGCATAAAATAAGGAAGGATAGAAAATTCTGAATGATACTCAACTTGACAAGACAGACATTTTGCACTACTCTACACAGAAGCTAAGTGTACAGCGCAAGTTCTTTTCAAGCGGATATTAGTAACAGCCATATTATGGGACACATACTACCTCTTAGTAAATATTACTATTCAAAATATATTCTCTGACTACAAGGAATTAGAAGTAACAGAAGATTTTTCTAAATATTCTTGAATATTTGGAAATTAAATAGCATACTTCTACAAAACCCATGAGTCAAATACAGAGTGAAATTATAAGTCCTCTGAACAGAATGGAAAAGGACAAATAAATGTCAGAATCTGTAAATAAGAGGAAGACACAGGCAGAGGGATCGATCCTAACAGGACAAGCATTATCCTGACTGTGGCAACAGTCTCACAAGAATGTGCATGCAGCAGCATTTATTAAACTGTAGCATTAAAGTAGGAGGAGATTGCTGTTTATCAACTAGACCTCAATAAAGCCATTTAAAATTCTTCATTAGAGAGCACAACACTATCCCAATTTTTGTAATTATTTTTTTCTTTCTTAAGGGTATATGTTTTCATGACATTAAACGCAATTAGGGGACACAAGTAATTATTATAATGACTGTAAGTAATAAATAAGTGTTTTGAACCATATTTTTGGTCTTTATTCCTACTTGAACAAGGTTTCAGTCAACTAATGAGAGTTCCAGTGAATGCCTTTCCCTCCCTTTCAAAGCCGCTCTATATTTCCAGTATGCTTCATCCTTTTTGTTCCAATAATGTGTCCTGCCATTCTGTTGCTTCAGAACCCCGTGCCAACATTGTTCCTCCTTCCTTCCTTTCACTAGATCTCATTCAATTAACATTTTTTCCTAAGAAAATGCTCAAAATCCTTGCTATGTGAAGGAAAAATTTTATTTTACCATATTTCTTCTTAAGCTACTATCCATTCTATCCATTTTTTCTCTACCAAATCTCTGTAACAGGTAATGACTGTCTTACTTTCACTGTGATTTATTTTGAATTCACCAAGATTGGGCTTTTACCCAGTTCAATATTTTAACTTTTTCTATGAAGAGCCAGGTAGTAAATGCTTATAATTCTCAGGAAATGTTTGGGTTTGCACTCTGCTGAAGGAAGCCACAGACCATACAGAAATAAATAAAAATGCCTGTGTTTCCATAAAACTCCATTTGGCCCTCCAGCTTCATTGCTGACTCCTAAGTAAGAAGACAGGTTCTATAAGCAGCCTGCTTAGGCTGAGCCTCAGTTCTATCTCCTACTCTGTATAAAACATCAGCATCTCTAGCTTCAGTTTCCTCATTTATTAAGTAGGAATAGTTACACACTCCAAACTGTTGTGGGAGTTAAATGATGCTGGAACACTATGTGATCAAAGAGCACCGTCAGCGTCAACTTTCCAGCAATGAAAACTGAGCATTCTTTGCCTTGGTCTTCAATCTCCTTGACTTATCTCAACTTGCAGTTCTTCCACCACTCAATATATGTACAACTGTGGACAAGCCTCTCACTTCAGCAGCTTCTTTATCTACTGAGGGAAGCTGACCTGACAGGTTTTTTCATCTCAGAATTGTGATGACTATATGTGAGGTCATCCCTGTAAAGAGTTTAACAATGTCTTGCAAACAGTATTGTCAATCCCAAATAATATTAGACATAATTACTAATTATTACAAAATTAACCACGTCCCTCCATCATTCTACTCTCTTAAACGTTATTTGTTATAATACACGAAAGAAGTAAAGCTCTGGAGTTCCAGACATGGGTTCAAGTCTGACCTTGACCACTTCTGGTGTTGACACAATCTAAATTTGCTTTTGTTTACATGCAAAGTAGTGTATCAAGGATACAATGAGAAACAAACATTAAGTGTCTAGGGTATAGTGGCTGGAATTCGTAGACATGTGCGCCCTACCTCAGTTCTATAGCCAGGTGTAGACATTTTTACCTCATTTAGCCCTCATTTTACCTCATCTACCTCATCAAGGTATAGAGGCTGTCCCCTCTAAACCTCAGGATCCCCACAGAAATGCATCACTTCTGTACTTCTCTAGGTGCTGACTGCTACAGACCAACATTTACAAGAGCTCCTTTCACATGTTTCTTCTACTTTTTACTTGCTTAGCCCAGGGTTTTACTTCTAAACTGTTTTCTTTCTTTTCATTCCTACTCCTACTGGCCCCCTCTAACCCAGTGGTTCTCAACCTTCTTAACACTGTGACCCTTTAATACAGTTTCTCATGTTGTGGTGAGCCCAACCATAAAATGATCTTCATTGCTATTTCATAACAGTAATTTTGTTACTACTAATGTAGAATCATAATGTAAATATCTGATATGAAGGATATCTAATACGGAACCCCTAAAGGGACTGTGACCTACAGGTTGCTTTAAAATAACACATTTTGCTTCTCTAAACTTTAGATTTAAACTGAACAAATGATACTAGAAAAAAGATCTAGAGAATGGTGAAACTTCAGATTAAGGAATGATATCCTAAAAACTAAAAATCACAAACACAAAAAAGACTGATATTTTTTTTAAATACATGTTTGTTTGCTTTTTTTTAAAGATATATTTATTATGTATACAGTGTTCTGCCTGCATGTCAGAGGATGGCCCCAGATCTCATTATAAATGTCTGTGAGCCACATGTGGTTGCTGGGAGTTGAACTCAGGACCTCTGGAAGAGCAGACTGTGCTCTTAACCTCTGAGCCATCTCTCCAGCCCCCCAAAGACTGATATTGTAAAATGCAAAAATAAATAAAAAGATAAGGCACAGAATGAGTAAAGTTATAACCTATATGAAAGAAATAATGTTAGAAATATGTATAGAGTATTCATATTCTATTAGAAATAGAATAGAATTTATAGAGTATTAATTCTATAAATTAATTATATTTTTAAAATATCAAACACCAGGAGAAAAATCTGGTAATAGACCAACTCAAATAAAAATGTGTACAAATGGCTCTGAAACACACTCAACTGAATTTAAAATGAAGAATATGCAGATCAAACTCCACCAAGACAACAGTTTTCACTATGAGCCTGGGTAACAAATCTTGCTAACTAGCACTGACGATCGAGATGGGAAAATCAGCTTTTTTCACTCTACCAGAGGGCAGGGCTTGAGAAAGGACATCTGGCAGTATAAAAAAACATAAGCTCTCTCAATACCCAAGTTACTAGGAATTCGCATGGCTATGCATAGAAGCATCATCAGAAAACAATGTAAACATCTATTGGGAATGAATTGGTTAAATTACTACCATACAGTTTTGAAAAAACAAATAAAAAACTCACAACTGAGAAACAATCTATGTGCAGACAAATGAGCAAGGAGTAGAATACTATCACTTGTATACAAGGAGGTTAAGACGGAGAACTGTACATGTGTTTGCTTGTGTATGTGTGTGATGTATCTCTGGAAATGTTCAAAAGAAATAAGTAGAGCCACTGTTTATCTCAGGACTAGGATGAATGGCTAAGGTCTGATGAAGGAAGCTTCACTATTGAATACCCTCTGAAGCCATCTGCATTTTGAAGTGTATGAATGAACTACATGTTGAGAAATTAGGTTTGCAGAACAGAAAGAAAAAGGAAGCTTCAACAATGTTGTGTGTGTGATTAAGGTTTGTTTTTCTTTTTCTGTTTGGCAATTTATGAATACAGGGAAATACATAGGTAAAAAAACTTAAGAATGTCTTTTCATTTATATTACAAATTAAACTGATCTAAATGAGTGAAAATACTAAGTACATCATAAATCAGACTGACGCCTGAAGATGTCTTCATCTGCTTCAAAAATAGGCTGTATCTCTCTTACCATATTGCAAATATTTTGTCAACTGAACTTCCTGCTTGGAAATAGAAAGAGACACAGGAACTACAAATCACTGCCAGATGAATGGGAAAAGGCTAAGGATTTTTCTTTTAAAGTTATTACAAGGTAAATTCCATGTTTACAGCTTAAAAAAAAAAAAGCAACGGAAAGATTCTGTTTTATGTATAAGATCTAGATATGTTGTGTGAATTCAAACCTGTGGCAACACAAACAAGATTATACAACCTGAGAATATGCTGTATTATGTTTTTGGTTTTTTTAAATTTTGTTTTGCAAACTGCATTTGACAGTTAATACATCCAAATGCTCAAGTTCCTACTGTTTTTAAAACTGTAAATAAAAACTAAGACTATAGGAATGCTCTAGGTGACTCCGACAATCCCACACCTTTCTGTTCCTATCTTGATGTTTCTCCCCAAAATGAAAAAAAAAAAATAGGAAGTTCCTGCCTTAAAGGTAAAAATACCAACACATTTAGACTGTTTGACTCCTGTATTCAGAAATGGTTTCTACCTATTTCTTTCCTTCTCAGGCTTTGAAAAACTAAATTACTATATTAAATCAACTCTGATTTAACCCCAACTTGAAGAGCTCTCAATATTTTTGGAGGGCTTCAAAAGCAAAAGCAAAGGCAAAAGCAAAAAACAAACAAACAAAACAAACAAACCCTTTTAACACTTTTTGGTTTGACTGGAATCCTATAGAAACAGGTTTCCACCAACAAACCAATCCTATCTTCCTCTTTCAATTTCATCCAACACAGAAATAAAATAGTGACAATAATTCTAGGCATAAGACAGGCACATTAGGAAATTATATTCAAAAGATTGCTTTACCTCGAAGTTGAAAAGACAGCACTCTCTTTAGGTCTGTTTCTGGAATGTGGACACCAGCCACATGCTGGGTGCACTCCTTCCCCAGGACATCCTGGCTGCACACAATAGCCACTGACAACAATTGAACTAAGTCGCTATTTCCAAGCATGGAAAATTTACTATCTATAGACACAAATTTCCCTATCTAAGTAGAGTTAAATGGAACTTGTAAACAATCTACTTGAAAACAAATTTGGTTACTAAGCACATTTAGAAAAGTCACTGAACAAGCTACCCCAGTTTCCCACCTTTTCCCTCCCAGTGCTTCAAACAGAAAAAAGAAACTACACAAACAGGAAAAGTCTTAATTCAGAGGTGTGTGCGTGTGTGTTGGTAGCATATAAACTACATTTTTATTGAAAGAGTTATTTCCTCTTTCTGCCTTATCCCTTCACACTGCCTTCTTGCCCTTTCCGAGTATGAACATATTCACTGCTGTCATCAGGTTTTTCACATCCAAAGTTCTCATACAGGGACCGACCTATACTGTAGCCTCACCCTTGAAACCACAGCTCAGTTGTAAAACCTGCACCTGGCCTGTCACACTTCTGGACTGATAACCTCTCCTGGTGAGTCTGTCCTTCATCTAAGATGGATGATGGGAGCTTACTGGCCACCTGGGTGCCTGTAACACCTCTTACTTGTCTGCCTCTGACTTTCTGCACATCACTGCTACCACTTTTTATATCGCCATTACTGGAAGCCATGTTGTCTTGCCAGTGGCATTTTATTCTGATGAGTACTTCTTAAACCTTGTACCTCTGAAACTCTTTGATTTCTCTCTCTGCTGGCAGACACTCCTCCAGTTTATCTTCTCTGACCCTGGTTTCACGTCAGCCCTCTATTTTCCCTGCAAAGCTGGTGTCATCCTTTCATTACCACAAGTCTGCATCTTCAAGTTCAAACTTCTCCACAATCCCTGGCATCCCAGCAGTTACCATGCCCCGCACTCTATCTCAAGCTCACAGCTTCAATTTTTACCTGGACCATTATTTCTCACAATTTCCTAATTTATCTAATCCTCCCTTCATTTAGTCTTTCTTATATATTGTAGCCCAGAAAAATTTTAATGTCCTAATTCTCAATTCTGTTTAGTACATAAATAATATATATGTACTATAATATATCTCCACATATACCTGATAAAATTAAATCGTAATTTTATTTTCACACACTAACTGAGCATTCTTTTTCTCCATTTGGAGTCACTACAAATGACCATTTCCCAACCCCACTGTCTTCACATAGCAAATGATCCTTAGATAGTAATAAGCAACCTTAAAAGGGATGAACTCATGCCCCAAAGCAAAATTTTAAGCATGGGCTTTTTTTGGTTGAAGAAAGAATTCTCACCATGTTTAGCAATTTTTATTTTTAAGAAAAAAAAAATCTTTAGGTGTTACTTGGTGAGAATATTTATATATCAAAATATACAAAAATTCTTTATTCAGACAAACCCTACAAATGCCTCGAGGAGGTGGCTAAGCAGTCAGTTTGGACTGAAACAAAAATATGTCACTGGATCTTTTTCACCCTCAGTGCTGAAACTTTCCTTACCTTTCACTTTTGCAGTAAGCATTTCTGCAGCACTCTGAAGATCTACAGAATTGAGATTTTGATGCTTATTCATTATAGATTTTAAAACACGAAGAAGTTCATCCAGACGTATATTAATGACTTCTTTAAAACAGTCTTTAAAAGAAAAAAATTTAAAAATTAATTTCCATTGCAAAGTTCTAGAAATCTGTTACAAAGACACGTAGATACTTCAAGTAGAAAACACTGCTTCCATAATTTCTACCCACCACACATTCAGTTCTGTTTTTAACTATTGCAATTATATATCATTTTTAGCACTGTCAGGAAACCCTTTATCACTCAATTCATTAAGGATTTCAGGGCCAGACATGGTGGTGCAAGCCTGTAAGTCTAGCACTTGGAAGGTAGAGGCAGAAGATAAGTAGGAGTTCAAGGCTACCCTCTGGTATGTAGGTAGAGTCTGAGGCCAGCCAGAGTTACATGTAACCTTGTTTTAAAAACAACAGGACTAACCCAGGCAGTGGTGGTGCACACCTTTAATCCCAGTACTTGGGAGTCAGAGGCAGACAAGTCTCCTGAGTTCAAGGCCAGGTGGTCTACAACAGTGAGTTCTAGGACAGCTAGAGCTACACAGAGAAACCCTGTCTTTAAAACAAAAACAAAAACAAAACAAACAAACACACAAGCACAAAGTGGAATGACCAGTGGATAAAGGTGCTTGCTTTGAGAGCCTGGCTACCTGGACACAATCTCTGGAACCTAAATGTACGTAGGAGAGAATCGACTCCCGAAAGTCATCCTCAGACCTCCAGATACGTTCTGTGGCACAAGGGCACACAATCATCATCATCATCATCATCATCATCATCATCATCATCATCATCAGCAGCAGCAGCAGCAGCAGCAGCAGGAGCAGCAGGAGCAGCAACACCACCACCAGCAGAAAGAGCAGCATGAAAGTATTTCAAAGGCTAACACATTGTGGCCAATTTAACACTACTTCATTTTTCCCAGTCTAAACCTGCTCTTGAGACTTCTCAAAGCAAATAAATAAGGCCATTCCTGCCTTGTCTTTAATAAACATAGTAACAAACTCAAAATACCTAAAAACAGTCTGATATATTAATAAATTTAAAAAGTTAGGTTCCCACATTAAAATTGATTCTCTGTATTAATTATTAATTATTAGAGACCAGTAATCCACAGGTACATGTATAAGAAGCATCATTTGATCTGCACATTTTAAAAACTGGGATATAATTTACTTATGATAAAACACACAGATCTTTAGCAGTTTTTTTTTTGTTTAAGTTGAATTAGTTGTTAATGATAAAAAATTGGGGTGAACATTAAAAGAAATCCAGACTTCTACTTATTCTTGCAAAAGTTATAACATTATTCTTACCACCCTTCTTTCTGGTTCCACCAATATAACCCAAGTCCACTTCTGGTCAGAATATGCAGATGAAAGTATCACAACCTCTGTAGGCTTGTGACCTTGTAACTTATCATCCAAACCAAAATGCTTTATGGAGTATAAAGGGAGGGTGCTAGCCGGGTGTGGTGGTACTCGTCTTTAATCCCAGCACTCAGGAGGCACAGGTAGGAAGATCTCTTGAGTTTGAGGCCAGTCTGGTCTACAGAATTCCAGAACAGCCATGGCTACACATAGAAACTCTGTCTTGATATGATGCCCCTACCCTAACCCCTACAAAAACAAAAAAACAAAATATTTAAAGAAAATACTGTCTCAAAATAATAAATACTGTCTTGTTTAATGTTCTACACTTTTATTAGGTATACAGTTAAAAATATTACTACATTTGAGAATATGGAAACATATCAAATTTATCAGGTTATTAAACTATAGGGCCAAAATTTGAACCCAGAGTATATAATTTCAGAATTTATGCTCTTACTATTATACTGTCTCTATTGAAATAGCTTTAAAAATAATTAAAATTATAAAGACAGTTATTTCATAATTACATAAATAAAATTTTTTAGAAACAATGAAAGATAATAACCAAAGAAAAACTATCTTCAGAATAAAATACAAAAAATATTCTCCCTTCTCCAACAAAAGTTCCCCTTATTGACAGTACTATCAAGAAAGAAAAGTGACAGTGGCAGGCCTGTGAAGGGGATGGGCCCAGGAGGGACTAGTGAACAATTATAAGTCACCAAGGAAGTGCCATGGAAGACAACTGTGAAACCCCAGACCTTTCTCTGCTCTGGAGCTTGTGACGTGATGATGTGAGCAACTTTTCTTTACCACACATTCCCATCACGTGCTGCCTCACCACATACCAAAGCCTTGGGAGCAAACTGACCATCTACTACTCCGAGTCAAAACCCATCTAATATCTTTAAGAGTTAAGTGCAGCATATTCCCCACTAGAAGGTTTTTTTGTTCTGTTTTGTTTAATACCATAGAACATCCCAGTAACTACCAGCATAAATGGTTTACCAACTTGAAATCCCTCTTTTCCTATGCAGGAAGACCTTACAGATACTGACGTTTCAAATCAACAAACTGAAAAATTGTAACTGAGCTGCCTAAAATACATTTCATAAATCCTCAAATTGTACTCTAAATACTTCTAGTCCCCTATGATTTAATATAAATATGAATTTCTGACAGTGTCTATAAATCAACAGAAAGGTAAATAGAGGGCTAATCATAAAGATTCATACTAGGACATTAGCATATCCTGATAATTTACTTCACCAGAAACTTCACAAATTATCAAGTCCTCAATTATCTGTACCATGAATTTTTCAAAGAAAATAAGTTTCACTTACACCAAATGTTCTTCCCCTTACAGTAAAGCTACCTCCAGTTACTTTTAAGAAGAAAACCTCTCCTATCCTGCTACCCAACTGCAAACTTTTCAAAACTTCCAGAAGCTTAAATATTTCCTTTAAGCAACACCAAGTATCTCTCCTTCAAAAAACCAAACTAAGCAAAACCAACCAAACAAAAAACAGTGGCACAATTAGTGGAAGAAAGAGTCTGTGACAGCTGCTACATGTGGCAGAAACCTACAGACTTAGATTAAGAAAACCAACTCACATTGCCACTTCTTTGAAATGAAATGCAGGGCTTTTTGAACTTGTATTCCTCATCAATAATAGAGAACTGATCAAAGTATCTCCTTTGCCTACCTCATAAGGTTGCTACGAATATCAATGAATGGGGTGACCGAGCCAGCCCACGGGATCCAGGCAGTACTGACGGGACCTGACAGGCTAGAGTCAGACAGTAGGAGAGGAGGACTTCCTCTATCAGTGGACCAGGGGAGAGAGAAGGAAGAGGAAGGGAGCGTGGGACCTGGAGGAGATGAGGGAGGGAGCTACAACTGGGATACAAAGTAAATAAAATAAAAAAAAAAGAAAGAAAGAATAAAGAAACTGCCTTTTGTCTTAATGCATACAAATAAGATTTTTACAAGCAAATCTATAAGCCATTCACACAAAACGCCTTTGAAAGGAGAGATGCTTCAAAGAGATTTAGTACCAAATAAACTTACAGCCTGGTCCCACATTTGGTTAATAAAAAAGAAATATAAAGTTTGAATTTCAATCTATTGTAAAATTAATATTAGTAAATAACTTGGAAATCAAATAGTCAGAATACATTGCATTAAAATATTTTTACATCTGTCAACTTACCTTTAGTATTATTTAGTCCTACAAAAAAATACAAGGGAATTTTGAACATAGCCACATTATAAATGTAATGTCTACCCTTTGATTTATACTCCAAAGATATTACAATACAAAAATAAGGAAGTTTAACTAGTTTTCTAGAACAGCAAAATAGTATCCCAGTGTTTGTGTGTTACCCCTTTAATGTGATAAACTGAATTTTAATTTATCGTTTCATCCATTTGTAGCATTTATTTTCTGCTACATTCCAACTTATCAAGTGAAAACAGATTAGCCAGCTCAACTTTCTGATTCTCAGGCATTAACACAATAGCACAGTGTTTATATTGCAAACATTTCAGGGAAATGCTTGAGTAAATACATGAAAAAAATCATGTTTTTTCCTTGATTAAAAAAAAGAAAAACTGACCAATTTTTAAAAAAATGGTATTGTTAGTTCAGCTTGCCCTTTCTAGGGAGCTTACTGAAAACAAGAAAGCAAAAAGCATCAGAACTTATCAGTAGCAAACTTCTACTTTTTGCTGCAATGACTTCAAAATTTATAGGACAACTGTGAAACCTGAGGATCAGCATCTTTCTTTAGCTACCTCGAACTCTAAAAATAATAACAGCTGACTTAAAGCACTTACTGTGAGTTTTATATATAAGAACTCATTTAATAAATGAAAACCCAGTGGTGGAAGTGCCAGTACCTCCTTTTAACAGACAGAGTAAAGGAATCATAAAGAACAGAAACAGCCTGGCTGAGAGTTACAGATAACCAACAGGAAGCCTAACGAGGGCTGTGCTGCAGGCATTGGCCCTACATCTGCAGCTGTCTTATTGGGATAGGGTCTGGCTACATGCATAACCCTGAATTTGCCATCCTCCTGCCTCAAGCCTCCCCAGTCCTGGGATTACAGTTACATGTCCAGGTTTTGGATGTCTACGACAAACTGCCACATGGTTAAAGAAGTTATAGATTAATGATAGATAGTCTTCAATATGTGATTTAGCAGGCTTTAACTTCCATTAATTGCATAAGTTGTTACTAAAAATGTTTTTAAATTCTATAAACTCCTTCCAGGCAAGTGCAGAAAACCAAAATATCATAAAAGTGGTACAAGTGTAAGTGAGCTACTTGTATTGCACTCTGCATTTCTTGCAGACTTATTTGACATATTCTACTTGCTAAGCCGCACCCAGTTAACATTCACACTAACTTCTCTTAGTGACAGATTTGAAGCCATATCTAAAGAGATTTACTAGAAGACACACAGAGCAGATCAATGCATCTAATATTTTACAGATTTGGCAGACTGTGACTTTTCAATTAGCTTTTGAATATAAAATAATAGTCTCAAAAAGATTTTATACATGCTCCCTACACACCACATGGGGAAAAAATCCGTGTTAACCTACAGGCCAGGAAACTGCAATTTCATGTAGAATGTATCATAGCAGACCATGCTACTTAATGTATTAATGTTTTATGTAACTCCTGCTAACTCTTATGACTATGGCTCTGTCAAAACTAGAATCTAGGATTGAAAGTCACAACTTTAAGAGTTGTGTTTTACAAAATAAAATTAACTTTATAATTTCTCTAGCTTCTGAAAGTTTTTCTTTTTTATATTTGATAATAGATAACTGGTTTATCCGAATCTCATAATAAATTTGTTTTGTTTTAGATACAGGGTTTCTCTGTGCAGCCCCTGGCTGCACAGAACTCTCTGCCTGTTCAAACTCAAGCGATCCACCTGCCTCTGCATCCCTAGTGTGCTGGGATTAAAGGCGTGTACCACCCTGCCTAGCTTCATAATAAACTTCTATCTTTTATCCTTGTCTATTTAAAAAACAAAAAACAAAAAGCTAAGGGTAAAAGAGAAGAGAAAAGGCAAAAAAGGGAGCCTATATGCCTGTAATCTCTAGTAGTAAAAGGCTCAGGAAGGAGTCACTAGTTCAAAGCCAACTGGAGCTTCATAGTAAGACCCTGTCTCAAACCAAAAAGCACAACACAACAAAACAAAAACTAAAGAACAAATTACCATAATTAGAATGGTAAACTGACTAAAATCCATTTAAAATCCTGTTACATATACAGAAGGAAAGTTACAAGAATAATCACTACTTGTTTTTCCTTCAAATATATCTTATGTCATTCTACACTTTCAAACATGAAGCAGCAGAAATTTTTCAGTATTCCTTTTACGTAATTAAAAGGCTTAAAAAATTCAAATTCCCAGATTCCAGGATATGTTACAAAGGCATACTTTGTATTTTTATGAATTATTTCATAAAACGCAAGAGATGGCTCAGCAGTTAACAGTACTTGCTGCTCTTTGCAGATGGCTTGGGCTTGGTTCCCAGCACCCACGTCAAGTAGCTGATACTGGTTGTCTGGTCCTCCAGTTCAGGAGTATCTTATTCTGGCTTCTGTGAGCATGCAATACATGTGGTATAGACACCGTCAAAATAAGTTACACAAACAAAGTAAGTGTTTTCTAAAAGTTGTAAGAGAGTGTTTGTGAATCTGCTATTTGGAAAGCAGAATAGATTATTCCTGTGGAGGGGAGCAACCATAAACCCAAATTAGGACTTATGTTACATATATTCTAATAGACAATTAAACATATAAATCCACAATTAAATGCAAAGTATATATGCATAATGAGTACCTTCAGTCTTTTAATGTAAGATGTACAATTTATCTCTATAATTATTCATAATGTACCTTAATGATACTAGACAGAAATTCCAAACTTAAAATTCCACACCTGTTACTGTGTGAGACTACAGGGGAGCCTCACCGTGAAGATGAGCTGTGGAAAGAGAATCACTATCACTTATCTTAGGCGGAGTAAGGGTTTGGTCCTCAGCTCTCTCTAAGGAGTTCATTTATTTATAAAGTTAGAGTCAGCTAGAGCATGTGCATGAGGTGTGGGGGTGGGGAGACTAGGCGAGTGAAACTACATATTTCCCATCTGTTAGGAATACAGAGGCCTTTGATAATCACTTAGTTATTCAGCTACCAAAACGAGTGTCATAACTCTACCTAGAAACCTTCAATGCAAAATTTGTCATAAAACACACACACACACAAACAGGGAAAGAGGGGACACTGTCAAATGCATCACAAAACTTGAAGAGAAATACTCTGAACTGTGTTCAGCTTCAATCTCTCTCCATTGCCTCTTCTTGCTCCACAGGCATTAACATGCCGTGTGTATGTGCACACATACACATGTCTGCTGTGTATGGAGGTCTCAAACTGACCTTGGGTGTCTTCTCTGAGCTCTGCCCACTTTGAAGGTCTCTTACTGAACACAGCTCACCGGTCAGTTAGTCCAGCCAGCTTGCCCCTAGTATCTGTCTTTGCCTCCCAAGCGCTAGAACTACTGGTGGCCAACATGTTTACCTGGCTTCTACATAGGTTCTGAGCATCCAAACTCTTATTTTCATACTTGTAAGGCAAGTACTTTATCCACCGGACACCTTTCTAAACACTGTTTGCTTGTTTAGTGTTTGTTTTTTGAGACAGGGTTTCTCTGTGTAGCCCTGGCTGTCCTGAAACTTGTTCTGTACACCAGGCTAGGCCAGACTGCTGGGATTAAAGATGTATGCCACCACCAGACAACTCATAACACTGTTACTTCATAAAAAAAAAAAAAAAAAAAAAAAAAAAAAAAACTAATTTAAAAGCTTGAGGTATGATATTCTGCTATGCTCACAGACAGGAGCCTGGGATAGCTGATCTCTGAGAGGTTTGACCCTGCAGTGGATCAAAACAGATGCTGAGTCTCAGAGTCAAACATTGGGCAAAGTGTAGGCAATTTTGTGGAAAAGTGGGGGGAAAAATGGAAAGACCTGGAGGTGACAGGAGCCCCACAAGGACAGAGCCTACTAACCAGGGCCCAGAGGGGCTTGCAGAGATTGAAGCCCCAAGACTGGACCTAGGCCTCCTAGACAGATGGAACCAATGGCAGCTCAGGCTTCATGTGGATCCCCTAGGAAGAGGAGTGGGGGTGAAGGGAAGGGAGGAGGAGGGGGAGTCTTTTGCCTGCCTTCTGATCATCCCCCCTGGCAGGGTTGTCCTGCCAGATCACAGAAGAGGAGGATAAACTCAATCTCAGTCCTGATGGGACTTGAGCTGAGTGGGTGGGTGGGGGTCCCCTTTTCTGAGGAATAGGGGAGTGGAGGGCTATGACAGGATGTAAAGTAAGTAAATAAATAAACAGCTTGATGTGGTAGCAATTATCCATTGTCTTAAGCACTAGCTTTCTTACTAAAAGAATAATGTTCATACCATTTTTATTATTATTATTTTTTCATACCAATCTTTAAATTATAATTCACTGAATAAGTCTGTTTCCACATGTACTTCTTTATTTTGGTTTGGCTTTTTGTTTCTGTTTTGTTTTGAGACAGGGTTTCTCTGTGTAGCCCTGGCTGTCCTGGAACTCACTCTGTAGACCAGGCTGGCCTTGAACTCAAGAAATCTGCTTACCTCTGCTTCCTGAGTTCTGGAATTAAAAAGGAATGTGCCTCCACCACTGAGCTACATGATCCCTTTTATCTCAAAGAGTAGTCTCCTTCTGAATCTTATAACCACTTTACTCCTTCTTACTGAGACCAGTAAGAACCTTCTTAGTCTCTAGATTGTCTACTCACATACTGAAACTCATAAACTTTTTTAGAGATAAAAAGTGATACAACTTGTTTTAAAATATCTTATTAAATCTGTGAACAAAAGAAAACTATACAAGATGTGGATCTGAAAGAATATAAATTTTCCAAGAAAAAGAAATACCAGTAGAAATTCTAACACAACTTTCATTTATATTAACTAAAACTTAATTAAATGAAAAAAATCAAACTATACCCTACCATAAGCTAAGGTGAATAATTTATTATCTAAGATATTATTTTAAATAGCATTTAAAAATAAACTAGTAATGAACTATACTTCGAAAAGAACAGAAATAACAACTTAAAAAGTAACCTAGTTCAAACAAGGCTCTGCTACAAAGCCATAAATGGCAGGTCTGCTATTGTGCTGAGCTGCATTATGAATATAATAATGTGGCTAGGGCATTCTTCTAGCTTCACTGTCATCCAATCATCCATACTTAAGACTTCAAGATAAAGTTATTAAAATAAACACGGCTGTGCGGAATCTCTTTAATATTAAGACAATCTCAAAAGAACAATACATAATGGCAAATTTAAGTACTAAAATTTTGAACCTTCCATTTCAGTCCAATTATTTTGGGAATTTCAACCTGAAAATTATACTTAGGTTAGAATGAAAAAATTCAGTACAAGCATAAGATATGGTTGTCGAAAACAAACATTTTAGTTACATGCCCAAGCATATTTACTGAAATCTGATAAATTTCTAGAAAAGGCCCAAGAGGCCTCATATAAACACCAGAGATCTTCACTCGCTATGTCTAGAGATGCCATTGTGAACTACCATTTATCACTGAAGAGGAGGATGGCCTCTGACCCACTAATTGTCACTGATTGTCAAATGTGGATGTTGAAAGACTTAGATTCTCAAATCAAGGCAGAGATGTACAGTTCTTTGCTTCAGGAACTCAAATCCCACTTTAACTGGATAAGAGAATAAATTCTGTGTTTCTTCCTTATTTCAAGACTATAGATCTCCAAAACATAATGAAGTTTGCTATTAAGAAAAAAGTCACTGAAATGTCATTTTGGATTAAATTTTGGCAAGAAGATGAGAAGCAAATCTCAGAGAAAAGTATCAGCGATGTACCTTACAAAGGCTGGTCTGCTTATCATCAATCAGTAAGTGCGTTACTGTTAGCAGAAGCGTGAAAACTCCAGCTCGAAATCAACTGCGCAAAATCCAAAACTAGTTTTTCTTTTGTGCTCTTGTTCCCTCACACTGACAAGGCTTTTATTATGTATTGTACTGTTACCTGATAACAAAAATGTTGACATTGTAAGTATTTAACATTTAGGGGGAAAGCATGAAAGAACTAATGAAGAATGTCCTGTTCTTGCCCTTGCACACATATTGAGCCATAACTAGGTCAGCACTTAAGTTTCATACACTAGCAAGTAAGGATACTGAGAAAAGTTGACCAACCTGAAAGAATAGCTTCTTTCAAATATAGCAACATATGGGAGAACTTTCTGATATCATTCACCAGCTCCTTGATGTACTCCGGGTCAGAAATGGAGTTGGAACTTACGGACTTGAGCCCCATTTCAGAAGTTGTAATAGCAGCAGAGAGTTTGCCTGATGCCCAAACACGCTTTTTCTTTGCCTTTTTCTGTTTGTGAGCAATCATCCTCTCTTTTAACAATCAGAAAAACTGAAATCCTTAAGGGGAAAAGAAACAAAAGGGGGGAAAAATACCATATCAGCCAAGAAACATCATACTAGGTTTCATAAACAGCCCACAGCCCACCTCAGCATTCTAGTTTTAGATAAGGAAACTCTGAGCTACTAATGACAGCAGCTGCCACTGAGTGTCTACAATTCTGACAACTCTATGCTAAGCAAAACCCGGGGATGCGCAAGCAACCATTCTTTTCATTTCACAGTGCAAGAAACCTGATCTTCAGAGGCTGAAGTGCCTCTATATCCTCAACTGATAACTGAAGTTCAAACCTATATATAAGCCATAATTCCAAACTTTGTGCCCTTACCTACTTAGCTAATTTTTCTTCATTGTGAAGATAGTTTCAAAGCATCACTGAGCACACAGTCATATTTCCCTTTGCAGAACTGTCTTCAAAACTAAAAATAAAATGTTTTGAGAGAAATATTGTCAAAATCTTCCTTTACCACTTACTGCATGACCTCACTCGCAAACTGTTAAATCATCTCTTCACTGCAATATGCTCATTCATGGAAAACATACTGACAACACCTACTCCAAAGATTACTGTCAGCATGAGATGAGGCAATGATACAGAAATGTCCATTCAACACATTAGTTCAATTAGAATAATTTTCTCAGTGCATATACATGCACATGTATGTAGTTTATCAAGAATATTTCTTTTTTGAAAGCAGCTCTAAGAATGTCCAGTAATCTCACATACCTTGACTGGACAAATAAATTTATGATTTAAGAGTAATTTTTTTCATAATTTCAGGATGATATAATAAAGGGGGAGTATTTTGTATTAAAAATATATATTTTAATCTCAGCTCTAATAGTTTCCAGATGTGTAATCTATTCAATTAATTTACAGGCTCATATGAAGATCAAGAAAGATCACAAAATAAAATTTTAAAAGGGGAGGTTTCTGTTAATACATCTAATCCTGATCTACTGGAACTCATTTTTTTTTTTTTGTCTTTTTATCTTTAAATAATTGTTCTAAAATTGAAAGCCCTAATTTTGGCTGTATCTCTTGAAATCAGAAAAGAAACAACAGAGGAGGGCTAGGCAGTGGTGGCATGTGCCTTTCTTTAATCCCAGCACTCCCCAGGCAGAGGCAGGAAGGTCTCCATGGGTTCAAGGCCAACCTGAACCACGTAGTAAGTCCCAGGACAGCCAGAATTATGTAGAAAGACCTTGTCTCATTAAAAAAACGAGAGAGAAAGAGAAGCGGGGGGAGGGAGGGGAATAGCAGGGTGGTAGTGGTCATGCTCTTAAAACCAGCACTTAGATGGTAGAGGCAGATGGATCTCTGAGTTCAAGACCTGATCTACAGTGAGTCTCATCACAGCGAGAGTGACATAGAAAACAAAAAGATAAAATTAAATTAAATTTAAAAAAATTTTTAAAAGGGGAATTAAATTAGCTCAAACATCATTACAAAGTTTTCCAAATATGCTATGAGTATTTGGATACTTCCAGAAGGATAGAGCCGAGGACCTCCATGAAATCTATAGTAGAAATTTTTATGTAGTAATATCTTTGGTATATGTAAGAAATACTGCTTATCCACTATACCTAGTATAATAGATTTTTAGTTCCCAATTACAATTCTCTAATCTATCCATTCTTACGTTTACTGCTTCCAAACTAATGAATTACCATTATTTCTTGTTAAGCTACTATACTAATTTTTTTTAAGGATCTGTATACTTTCATTTATGTGCCATGAACCTCTGAAACGTAAGTCTATTAGTATTCCTTTCTTTGCTCAATACTTTTCAGAAGGACAGAGGTAAACGGGATAGTCTATGAAGTTCAGTATGATAGCTGGCTCCCACCTGCCTCTGCAAAGAAACCTGGACTCACATTTCACAACACACACCCTTTTTCATTTTTAGACTTTTTCCCTCTTTACTGTAACCCACAGCATGAAGTAATTATGCACCATGACCAGTACACACATTCAAGATATCATTTTTGTGTATAGTGCATGCACAAATGCACTTAGGTTTCATAAAACTCACATTCTAAGGACCTACGTGATATACTTACATATTTTCTTATTCTATCCTATTTCGTGTTTTATTTTTATTTACTCTCAGTTGTATGTGTGTGTCTGTGTGTCTATGTGTCTGTATCTGCATGTGAATGCAGATGCCCAAGCAGGACAGAGAAGCTAGCAGGAGTTACAGGCAGTTATAAGCAGCCTGACGTGGGTGATGGAAACCAAACTTAGTTCTCAAACAGTGCTCTCAGCTCCTGAGCTCTCTCTTTAGCACCTAGTTCATCTTTTAAAATGCTAGTTGCAACTCACTAAACTAGCCTTACATAAAGCTCTGCACCTTGAAAACCATTGTTTAGCTGAGGTACCGTCCACTATGTAAGGTTTTAACTGACTGGAACACTCTTTCCTCCTTGATTTACTTGCTGTTGCCTTAAAAATCACTTTCTTAAAGAAATCTTCCTGGATGGGTGTTGGTGACAACAGCCTTTAATCCCAGCATTTGGCAGAGGGAGGAGAATCTCAGTGACTTCTAGCCTAACCTGGTCTACAGAGCAAGTTCCAAGACAGCCAGGGCTATGCAGAAAAACCCTGTCTCGAGAAAAAATAAAAAAGAAAAAAGAAAAAAAGAAAAAGAAAAAGAAATCTTCCTGTACCGCTGGTACCCCTTCATCACTCCTACCAAACCAGAGCAGTACCTGCAATAGTCCTTTAGTAGTGTCCAAAATTTACACTTTGTATTTACTACTCAACTAGATGCCTTATCTCATGATTCCCTCCCTATCTAGACTACAATCTTGACAGCAAGACCACGCCATTTGCTAACCTTGTAATTCTTTGCTTACACCACAGTAAGCATATAAAAGATGCCCTCTTTGAAACTATCTGCATAATGAATGATTTAGCAAGATTAATAATGAATGGATGTATTTAATAGTTTTTATAGAAATACAAAAATAACTCTAGGTTGCAACATTTTGAGGGGGAAAGTACTTAAAAATCTATCTTTTAGATTCTCAAAAATAAGCATATGAATTATATAAATGTGCAAAATTACATAAAACAAAAATCAAAGTTGTATTTCACTTATTTAGTCTTGTATTTTCAAAACGGGGTACTTTGTGCCATCCTGGCTGTCCGTGAACTCACTCTGTAGACCAGGTTGGCCTTGAATTCACAGGGATTCACCCACCTCTGTGTGCTGGGATTAAGAAGTGTTGTATTTCTATTATTACTTCTAATTCTGTAAATAGGATGTCTCATTACCTCTTAATAGCTTTAAAGATTCCTTTAACTCAATGTCTTTTATTAATTTCAAATTATTTAAGAATATACTTTTTTATAACTAAACTACCTTTAAACCTTAAATTACTCATTAAGTGTGTAATTTCCAAAATGAACAGTAATTTTTTGGTCCTTAATACGAACACACATAGGGGGTAAGGCCTGAAACATGCATTATATTAAATATACTAAATTTTAGAATGCCTTAAAATTGTTCTTAAATTTAAAACTTTAAAAGGAACAACATTACAATTGAAAAGATATTTAAAATCACAGTTTTGTAATTGAACTATGACAGTGAGAAAATCTAGACATTATGCACTTTGCAAGATTCTATACACTACTTTCCCATGCACCAAAATGAATATTCTCTGGTTAGTGGTAATATAAAGTATAGTTAATAACAGATTGCAACTGGTAATTTAATTAAATTAGATAGTGATGCATGGAAAGTACTTAGCACAGTGCCTAGCATGAAGATAGAGTAATTGTGAGTTATTATTACTAAAGGACTTTATTGTGGGAAACTGTTTTTAAGCATATTTAAGTAATAAACAAGCTGTGGCTTCATAAGTCTGTAGATTATAAACAAGAAATATAGGACTGGAAACAATTCCAGAAGCTTAACTGATTTCATGGAAACCTAGGAAATGCTTCCAAGTGAAGTTTGAACTGTGCAAACAGACTGTTGCGTGAAATACTTATGAAACTAATTCTTATCTCTTCCAACTCCAAATCATAAACATTAAAGATTGTATTATGTACGTCTTAAAGAATTTTATAGCAAGTAGAAAATGAACGTGCAAAAACTACTGTACAGGCTAAGCTCTAAATAATATGTGCTTTACAAACAAATGTGGACTCAGAGCTCAGTGGAAAAGCGCTGCCTGGCAAGTGGCCCTGGGTCCAACTATCCACTAGAAAAAAAAAAAAAAATTGGCGACTTTTACAAGACTTCAGCAGTTTGTGTCAATCAAATGGCCCCTCACACACTCTGTAATATATGTGACAGAAGCAGAGAGCTAACTGGGGAGTAAAACTGCCTGAAATATCTGTACTTTAGTTCTTACTTCTTATACTTCTAAAACTGTATCTATTTCAGAAATCTGCTATTTCAGCATAATTTCTGAGTTTGTGAGAATCTATTCAAATGAAAACCCCCCCACCGAAGTGTAAAGGTCTTTAGTTATACTTTTAAAAGGCCCTCTACAAAAACAGAACGGGAACATGTCTGGAACAGCTCTATCCGTAATTTCTAAAGTAAGATATACAACACACGTTATTCCTGTGCAGTTTGAACGGAGCTTGATGACTTTAAAAGAAAGAAAGAGAGAGAGACAGAGAATGAGAGAGAGAGGGAGAGAAAGAAAAGGAGGGGGGAGAAAAAAAAGAAGGGAGGGGGGAGTGGAGGATTGCCCTGCCTCCCACGCCTCCTGAATATCTAGCATTCCTGGCAGGAAAAGCTTGCCTCTGACCAGCCAAAACCACCCAAAGCCAAAGCGCGCGTTCCCCATCCCTCACTTAAATACAGAGGAAAGAGAGAAACGAACACTGGCTGCCAGCATTGATAGTGACAGACAAAAGACACAACAAACGAGATAATCACAAAGAAGAACGCCTTAACAGGTAACAAGCCTGCTCTCCAAAAAGGTGTTTGGTGAACTATCTCTCGAGGGTAAAAAACTGATAAGCAGAAACTGCCGTCAGCCACGGGAGTTCCGCCTTCAAAAGTCTTCAATCTTGAGGACAACCATCCGCAGACGTCTTCAAGTTAAAACCATCAGACATCCAAATGAGTCCCAACAGAATCAGCGCACCCCATGGCAACGAGGGGCGCTGAAACAAACGTAGAACAATTCGGATGGAACGCCTGCAGTACGTCGGGACTGAACAGCCAACTTGAGTGACAATCGCTGGCGGGGTTGACGGAGCAGACTGCGCTCGTGAGCACGGGTTCTGGGGCAGGGGCGCCTGGGTTTAAGCCACCCTACTGTCAATGACCAACCTCAGCTTCCCTGTGTATGAAATGAGTTGGAGGGTCATGGAGCAGTCCTGAGAATTAGAGGGGTTTCAAGCTGTGACCTTTCCATACACGGTCGCTAACAGCGCGGCTTTGCTTTGACCATCTGCTCAGCCCCGTAGGTCGGTGCTCACAGCCACAGTCCTACGCTCGGCGAGGACAAGCACCGAGAATTCGCCACATACTCCGACCCAGACTCGACAGCAGCTCACGAGAAGCCCGACCCAGCGGCCTCTGGGAACCAGCGCCACTGCCCTCACTCACCGTGGGGTTCCATCCCGTATCCCCCGCGCCGGCTCCAGGGGCACACTCACGGCCTGGCGGCCGCCGCCGACGACTCAGACTCGCTGCCTCCATCCCCCATGCCGGGCCGGGCAGCACTGGAGCGCCGCGGCAGCCGCAGTGGCGCTCCGCCCTGTCCCCACCCCCGTCCAAGCCCCCCACCCCCTGGAGCCCAGCCCATTGGCTCACACTCGCAGGGGCGGAGGCAGAGGACAGGGTAGGTTGCGGAGCCCAGGGTGCGGCAGTCTGTCCACAGCTCCTGGCCTGACAAGGTCTTCTCACAGAAGACAGCGCTTGGCCAAAGTCACCCGAGACCTGGATTTGGCTAACGGGTGTTCTCTGATGAATAATCTGTATTTCCTGACCCACTTTCATTCTCCGTCGCCAAACCCCGGGAGTGATAAGGGCAGAAAATGTAGGGCCCTCACAGGTAACATGCAACACGGCCTTGTCCAACACCTTTCCAAAAGAATGCGCCAACACCGAAACAAGACAATTATTCTGCCTCCTGTATAAAGTAAACATTTCCACGAGGGCCTGGGTTTGGCCAACTGCCTGTTCGAAATCACCTCAGGAATAAAACGGGGGAGGAGTATGAAGGCATGATTTAAAAAGCAGCAAGGCCCTCAAAATACAAGGGCTCTTGAATTTAACACACCAAAAGCTACGATACAAAAACATGGGGACGGTGCCTGTGAGAACAGTGCAGAGACAGAAAATGACCGTGTGTGGGAGAAAAAAGGTCCCAGGTAGTTTTAACAGAGGTGGAAAGAAAGCGTGAATATAGTCGTAGGGCAACAAAAACCAAGGGAGAAACAAGCAAAGACAGAAGAAAGAAAAGAGTGGGACCCAAGAAGACCAGAAAATGAGGTGAATACGGAAGGGCCAACAAGTGAAGGATTGAGACAGAAGAAAATTCTGAAAAATAAATATTTAAATCTTCCAGTTATTACAAGAGAAAGAGTCCCTGTAGTGTAAATTGAAAAAATAAATATGGAATTGCTTGGTTACTTAGTGCCAAAGTGAATTTTTGAGATTCACACAAATGAACCCCTTCTACCCTCAAACACAATACCAAGTTTGTGCCACAAATATTCAGGAAACCTCAAAACCAAAGTACCTTTTAATTGCACTGGGGGAAAAAAATGTAGCAAAGACTCTGAGCATGAAAGGCCATGATGTCTGAACTTTTAAAGCAAGCTGCTAAGAGGAAAGGCATCCTCAAGAATAAAGGGGACCGGAACTACAGTTAAAAGCACACACCCAGAAGGAAATGTGAAGTCCTTTAGCTGCTCACACAGCCCCGAAAGTCTATTTTAAAAATACATCAGTTCTTGTCTTACTTATCTGCCGTTGCATTTAACAAAGAAGACTGTGGGTTGCACACTACTGGAATCCTAGCTTTTGGCAGCTAGGGGCAGGTGTATAAAGATTCCCAAGCCGGCCATAGCTACACAGCGAGTTCCAGGCCAGCCTAGGCTACATAAGAGCCTATCTCATTGACTTCCCACCCACCCAACAACAAAGAAGGTGTGTTCTGAATAAAATGGATCTGATTATGTCACTAAACAATAAGAAGACAAGTGCCTGGTAGAGAGAAAGGGGCAGGAGGAGTCAGGAGAGAGACAAAGAGAAGTGTAAAGAATGAGAAGGACAGCTGTGGAGAGGAGGGTGAGGAAGATAAAAAGGGAATGAAAAAGTAAGAAGGAATCGGAGATAAAAGCTAGGACAGAAAGACTACTTATCACTAGAGAAAAGAGGAGGGACACCTTGACGCAGAAAGTTCTGGGGAAAGAAGCCAGCGTGGCCTCTGAGTTGTTATCTAGCAAAGATAGACTGAGAACAGAGGCTCCTTGGTCACACAGCTCCACATTTTTTTTTTTCTGAGACAGGGTTTCTCTGCGGAGCCTTGACTGTCCTGGACTTACTTTGTAGACCAGGCTGGCCTGAAACTCACAGAGATCCCCTGCCTCTGCCTCCCTGAGTGCTGGGATAAAAAGTGGGCATCACCACAATGTTTTTTTTCATATTTGCTTAAAATGTACTCATAAAGCTTCAAAGATAACTGTATCAAAATTGAAAACAACAATGTAGAAGACATGTAAAAAAAAAAAAAAAAAAAAAAAAAAAAAAAAAAAAAAAAAAAAAAACCAAAAAACCCTTCCCTTAAACATCGCTAGAGAAGAATAAGACACCATGAACGACTCGTGAAACCACTGGCCAATCCTAACTGAAAGATACCAGCAGGAGAAGAAAGGGTTCTGAGGCCAAGAAGGGACATCAAGAAGGGACATCTAGAGAAGACAGTACGTAGCTCCATCCGTTCCACATGGCTGTTAATATTTCCTATAGTATATCTGACTCTAACTATCCCCACCCCTATCCAAACTGCCAACTACTGTCCATAGCACCTGATACAGAATTGATCAATAAATATGACATCATTAAATTCTAAGTATGGTTGTTCATGGTAAATTTTTTGTCTTACAATCTTAACCCTGCAACTGTCTGAAAACATATTAGCTAGCATTCTTCATCCAAAGGATGATGATATTTGCAAATATTCACAAAATAACTTCTAATAGTCACAAATTAACTGTCTTATAAATCTCTTCTGATCTACATTTTAAAGTAATATTATGTGGCACAAATAAATTTAACTACATAAAGCACCACACTAAAATAATCTTTCTACTTACAATTATTGGTTTATAATAAAATTATAAAGCTAATCCCTCAAAAGTAAAAACCATCTTTGGATCTACTATAGGAATACAACATCTCAATTTGTTCAACAAGTTTCAAAAAAACTTATAGGTGGCAGCGGCACACGCCTTTAATCCCAGCACTTCAGAGGAAGAGGCAGGGGGATCTCTGAGTTCGAGGCCAGCCTGGTATACAGAGTTCCAGGACAGCCAGGATAGTCAGGGCTACACTGAGAAACCCTGTCTCGAAAATACAAACCAAAACAAAATTACCTGTGTTTCTACCATTTTCTGTTATGATTGTTTCTAGCATTTTTTCCTCCTCTAAAACGGTAATTCACACTCTATATTGCCTGTTAAACATCTATCCTGTAAAGCATCAGGTTACAAACTTCTAAATTTTTCTTTATACACTCTCTTCAAAATGTCTACGGTGCTAGGCTGACTATATTTGTATCTACAGTGGCGATAATACCCAAGTGCTAATTTTGTTAAATGTTTTCATATTCTGAAAGTAGACTGTATGGTTTAGGCGGTCTCATTTTTCACAGCAGAACATGGTCCTAAAAAGCGTTTAATGTCTGGAGTGATTTTTGGTTGTCACAAATGAGGAAGGGGTTCTACTGACATCTAGTGGGTAAAGGCCATGGACATGCTAAATACTTTCATACATAAGACAACCTACTCTTAACAAAGTTAGCCAGCCTCGAATGGTCAAGATACTTTATATTTATATTTATATTTACACTTTGTAAGCTATAAGACAGAAAAAAGCATGTCAAATCGTATCTCAGTATGCCCTCAGCAAAACCTGGATTGTGACAATACAATTCCTTCAACAAAATGTTGCAAGAAAACAGAACACACACACACACACACACACACACACACACATATATATATATAAAATCTTAAAAGACAGCCAGATATAATGGTGCATTTAGGTAGACCTGAATGTTCAAGACCAGCCTGGTTTGCAAAGTGAGACACTATTTTAAAAGAAAAGAAATCCTTAAAAGATAAAGTGCAGGAAATAACAGCAAATTTGTCCATTCACAGTAGTAAAAAAACAGAACAAAGTGAGGGGTAGAAAGATACTGTTTTCAAATATTAGATTACACAGAGCAAGGGATAGAAGTATTTGAGAGATGCAATCACAAACCAATGAAATAAACTACACTCTGAACAGTTTACTTAAAGTTCTAAGTTTAAAATATGTATTAAAATCTCTGAAAGTGTAACTAATAAGCTAATAGCTATCATAAACAGAATTTTTAAATTAATCCAAAAGAAAGCAAGCTAAGAAAAGGAAACCACTAACCGGTGGGACAAATAAAAAGCAATAATCAATAACAACATTAAATATACTCTAAATATCCCAGGAAAAGCAAGATTGGGGCTATAAGCAAAGCTTACTACCAAAATACTTGTCTGGCATGCACGAGACCCTAGAGGATTCAACCAAATGAAAATAGTTCTAGGGAGGTGAGCTAGATTCTCAAATTAAGTAAAATAGCAAATCTAACTGCATACTGCCAACAATAATATATCTGAAATATAAATACATACATATTTAAAAAAACAGGAAAAAGATACAACATCTAAATACGAACCACAAGAAAGCAAAAGTGGTTCTATGATACCTGACAAGGAATTGTACCAAACATAATATGCTATATTTAATGATAATTAAATAATAATGGTAAGAAGCCATTTCTCATAAAGCTGTAACAATCCTAAGGGAATATGCCCCTATAACGGAGTCTGAGATGTACGAGACAAACCCTGACAGCCCTGTGGGTTAAAATTCCAGCACTTCTCTCAGGGTCAGCACACTAAAACTATAAAATTATTAGGGTTATACAAGACCTGAGAAAAACAATATTACTGAATTTAATAAGACAGACTTTTACAAAAATTCTGCACCCAAATGGCAGAATACACATTGTTTCAAATGTACCTGGAACAGTCACTAAAATAGGCCATATATGGTATTATACAACTAATCCCAGGAAGTAACTGAAATAATGTAGTCTAAGTTTTCTGACCTAAGCAAGAGTAAATGTAAAATCCACAGCATAAACATATATGTAGAATTTCCAAATATTTGTTAATTACAAAATATGTTTTCAATCCAGAGGCCAAATTTCCACATGCTAAATTTTTAAATATTTTAACTGAATAAAAATAAAAACATTCTAATAAATGAAGATTATATGGTTAAAAACTCTGATTAGAGAAATATACAGTTTGGGATGCTTTATTTTCCAGAATCTAAAATCAGTCATATCAGCTTCCAGTTTAAGAACTTAGAAAAAAAAGGAAATTAAAATCAAAGTATTTCAAGAGAAATAATAATAGAAATTATACTGTCGG